GCAATCACCATCAAGGGCGGCAATATAATGAAGAGACTCCGACAATCTTAAATGAGCTCATCAAGTTTATCTTACGATTCTGGGTGCTCTGGTGCCCAAATCGAAAGATGTGGCTTTCAAATTGATTGCTCGACATATAATATCATCTGTTGCAGCACGAAGCATCATACTCTCTCGTTAGTGGTAGACTTTTTGCCGGCTTGCAACTCCATCTTTTCAAAATTTCGTGGCGTTTTAGCCGCTTCTCCTCCCCTTTTCTTTTCTTCTGAGCGGCGTGAGGATTTACAGACATGTCTTCATTATGAAAAATTGTGGGATCGATAGATTAGGGCTTCGGATACTTTCGCACTTGGCCAAATTTAAGGTGCGGACAGAGAAAATGATTACAGTAATGGGTATTATTACTATTCATGCATTGTATAAAAGCATATGTCTATATTTGTTTGGATTCTACTAGAATAAATGGTCTTTTGCTTGATAAAACCGTTTACGACACGAAACAAATCTCTACTACTTCTTAGCATTATAGGCCAAGCTTTCCTGATTTAGTGGGTTCTCTGGAGAGCGGCGCCACTACAATAGTAACAGTCAAAGTCAGAAATGCCTCAACAAATACATAACTTTTACCCATACCATTTCACTCAGCTTGTGCTTATACTGCGACAGCTTTAGTCCTGGATAGTCTTCCTTTATTTGAGGTAGCATGACCTCCTCGAAAGCCTTGTAAGCAGCCTTTGCTCTGCGCTCCGGATGTTTCTCAATCTCTTTATCACCCACACTAAGCAATTCTAGCGCTGCATCTAGACTGCGCGCCTCCGTTGACTCGTCCAATTCCCGATTTCTATTGGCCTGAAAAGTATTTTCAAACTTAATGGCCTTCTTACCCGGTTTACCAGCCATGCGAGCCGTTTCAGCCTCTCGAAGCGCAGCCATCTCAGCTTGCGTAAGTTGTACATTAGCGTCGTCAGTCTGAAACGCCCCAAAGCCCGAAAGTTTCTTCGAACCACGGTTATTTTTCTTAGCTGCAGGCTTCAGTGCCTCTTCCCAGGGTTTAGCTACTTCTTTTATCGCCTTCTTCTGCTTACGAATAGCATGCTTGTCCTCATTTAAAGCGTGCTCTTCCAGTGCAAGCAGCTTCTGTTTCTCGGCCTTCTTGGCTTCCTGCTCGGCGCGCTTGCGCTCCTCCTCTTGGCGACGTTTGTCGGCTCGAACATCAGATCCTTTGCTCCATTCTGCTGCCTCGGCTGCTGCATCTGCAGCGGCCTTGGCGGCGTCCTTCACAGCCTTACCGGACGCCTTTTTGGCCTTGGCAGCCTCCACCTTCGTGTTAACCCCACCCTGCTTCTTTGCCATCGTAATTGATACAGGAAAATCCGAGCCTATCAAAGTTCTCACCTTCTAGAGTACTTGCAGAAAATTTGTTTAAAAACTTATCCAATCATCACAATAGTGTAGTTTTTTGGGATGTTTACGTAACAGAATTTGCTATTGCATTCTGCGACCTTTGAATTATCTGGTACCGATATTTAATACAAGTACCGTATGGTGAATTTTATTATCTGGTACCGATATTTAGTACAAGTACCGTATGGTGAATGTCGACTCTCAACTGCACTTTATATCAGCTGACGCCAGTATATATCGCTTTTACTGGACTTCGACGTAGCTGCGATAAAATCTTAAAGTATTGTACAAACAACGCACAATGAACGAAGAGGAAGACTCTTGTAGGTTGTACCTTACTCTAACATAATGGCGATGTTGCTGACGTAGCTTAAGATGCGCTCAAAAGTCGATCAATGGTGACGAATTTCGAAAAATGTGTCGATCTGCAGTCCCACTACAGCCCGTCTTCCCTTTTTAAGCGTTCGACACCCAGTTAAAGGTACTGTAGTCGAAAGTCCATTAAATGATTATATGCAAAGAGGTGTACACGTACCATGGATGAATAACAAAATTATTGCAGATTTTATTCAAATGATGCTTGCAGACAATGATTGTGTCCAGCAAAAGCAACGATATGGCAATTTAATTTGTGTCACAATGTCTTAGCATGGATGTCCAGACCAGAACCAGGTATTTACAATTTACATCGTTACTAGAAAGTTTGTTAGCACCCAAAGATTGAGGCTCTTTTTAAAAGATACACGAAAAACTTTTCACTTTTATAGCTTTTATAGCACCTCATTCTGAAAAGTCATCTTTTCTAACGTCTTATCTATACTTAATATGGATATTTTTTAACCTTCCTGTCTAAATTGTATTACCTTTTGCAATGAGCCCTATTTTGAATTGAGGTGGAGCGGCGAAACCGATATCTGCACTGTCGCCTTCTAATTTAAGACTCGCTCCGTGCGACTACGCACAGCGAAGCGATCTTTCGGGTGAGTTCAGCGTCTGTTGCCACTACGCGAGCAGCAGTTTCTTCCATTTAAAGCAAGGCTCGTGACGCCAGCTAAGTCCTCAGTTTTAGTTCCGGGCGATCTCCTCGTACACACTACCCTACCAAGATCAATCTCCTTCTTAGATCATGACGGAAGCAGAAAGCGTACAGCAGGAGTTGCAAAGCTATCTACACAAGAAAGGCATCAACACGCTTTTCATTAACCTCGTTGAGTCGCTCTTACTAGCAAAACCAGAGAATCCCATCCATCACATCATCCAGTATCTCCACAATAATTATCCAGAGGAGACCACATTGCGACACAAACACGGATTCAAAAGTGATAATCCTGCAGCCTCACCCCGCACGCAATGTACGTGCCGAGGATAGAATATACAAGGATAGTAAGTATCAGAATTAACGAAGCTGCTGTTGTCTGTATCCATTTGCAGATCACTCGGACGAGAGTGAAAGCGAGGACGAAGACGAAGATGGAGATGCCGTGGGTGAAATAGCAGCCAGCAGGCCGTTACCAAAGGTTATGGCCAAGGGACGCCGCACTTCGGTGTCAGCTGAAACTATTGATCCACTAAGGTGAGTAATGGCTGCTTGATGAGTCCGTCTTGTCTGATGGTGAATGTAAAAACACTTTATTGATACGTGACGTGGCAGTGCTCGACAATTTGAGCGCGTCGTGCATCCAAAGTCTGCTGATGAGAGGAAAGGCATCAGTCGAATGGTGGCTGGAAATATCTTGTTTAAGTCGCTGGATGAGAAACAAAATGATATTGTGCTCGACGCTATGTTCCCCAAAGAGTTTGAACCGGGTGATACAATTATTAAGCAGGGTGATGATGGAGACAACTTTTATATACTCGAAAGTGGCGTTTGTGAGGTTTACAAGGACGGGGAACTTGTTCAAACGGTAGGTGCCGATTGATGCACTCATATTTATTAATGATTACATTAATGATGGTGCATTATCGCTGTGCAGTGTACTGAAGCAATGTCGTTTGGCGAGCTAGCGCTCATGTATAATGCCCCACGTGCTGCGACGGTGAAGGCGGTACAGCACTCAAAGGCATGGGCTTTAGATCGACAAACTTTTAAGTATATTATTATGGAGACGACATTAAAAAAACGCGAGGCACACAAGGGTTTTATTGAACGCGTGCCTTTGCTCGAATCTTTAAGCGAATTTGAGCGACTTACCGTTGCAGATGCTCTCAAGACGGAGACTTTTAGTGACGGGGAAGTTATTATTACACAAGGGGACGACGGCAATCTCTTTTACATTATTGAAGAAGGTGTGGCAGTGTGCACAAAGCAGTTGTCACCGGGAGAGCCTCCAGAAGTGATGGGGGAGCTCACACCAGGTGCTTATTTTGGCGAAATTGCTCTGCTCACGACTCGACCGCGTCAGGCAACAGTGACCGCCAAAGGTAAAGTGAAGTGCCTGACGCTGGACCGTAAAACGTTCAAGCGGGTCATGGGACCGTTGGAAGACATTCTTAAGCGCAACATTGACAAGTATAACTCTGTCATTGCCAACAACATTTAATCAGCAACAGGAAATCGTACATCCATACGCTATACATTTACACGCCAGTATCTCTCTATAGGAATTCCGAGAAGCCTTATTTACTGCCATCAATTTGAGAAGCACTTGAAACAAACAGCTAGTGACTGAAGCAAGCAAAGCAACTAACGGGCAGCTTAGAATACGAATATCAGTTTCAGAGCTTTTGTTCTAGATATCCCAGTGAAATTGCAATTTTTGAAAAGTTGAATGTACTTTGTTCTGAGCTGCTTACTCCTTTTGGCTCTTATCCATGTCATTTTCGAGAATCTCCACAACAACATTTTCATTCGTGTACACACAAATATCAGCGGCAATCTTCATGGCCTTGCGACCAATTGTCTCGGCATCTAAGTCTTGATCAATCAGGGCGCGAGCAGCAGCTTTATTGCCCACGTAATACACACCACAAATTGTTACTATGATTTTTATTTTTTGACAAAAAATGACATGAGAAAACCTACCCAGAGCATAAGTGCCTCCCGAGCCAATACCAATGATGCCATCATGCGGCTCCAGAACGTCTCCATTGCCTGTGAGCGTGTACGACTGATTAACGTCCGATACAATCAGAATTGCCTCAAGGCGACGCAAAAATTTGTCAGTTCGCCACGCTTTGGCCAGTTCAACGCACGAACGCGTAAGCTGACCCGGGTATTCATCCAGTTTGGCTTCCAAGCGCTCCATAAGTGTGAAAGCGTCAGCTGTAGATCCTGCAAAGCCCGCCACAATATGCTCACCGATGCGTCGCACCTTTTTCGCATTAGGCTTAACCACAGTGCTGCCTAGTGATACTTGGCCGTCTCCAATCAGACACTGCACCGAAAATCAACCGCATGGCGGCACAGAATCGTAAGGTTTCTATCCTCATCAACTAAATATCTGGAATACAAACGAACCACTTTGCCATTTTTGCGAACACACAAAATTGTCGTGCCGTGCATCTAAACACAAATTTAGATAAGTATGACACGCCTCTTAACGGACTTACAACGCAGATGGTACCGTTGGGGCATTGGAATAGTGTGCAGCTTGCGATTTATCAACGACTGTGGTAGCTGCAACCAATGGTGATGGCTTCCTCGAGGTCACACGGAACAGCGAGCGCGCTAGCATTTTGAAATACGAATGTTTGAAATATTGCTCTGTGGAATGATAATTTAATACAATTGTAAATATTGACAGAAATGAGCACATCGACAAGTGGGACTCCTTCGTCTGGTGGCGGTGGCGCCTCGCCAGCACCGACTCCTTCGTCCGTACAGCCGACACTTAAAGGTGCATAGCGTATTTCCTAGTGTTGGGATGATTAAGTATCTTAGGTGCTATTTTGTTTGTAGTGATGCGGTTATATAAACCCAAATTGTATGTTCAGGGAGTTAGCGGTGGGTCCTTGTTGCCCACGTCCATGTCTGAGGCTACTGCTACCCAGCATGAGTTCGCATTGTCTAGCATGCTCATTCTACCCGGCAGCTTTGGGTGCGTCCGTCTCCGTAATAGGTCTATTGTGACACAATTATCTGAATTGTCCTACCATTTTTATTTTTTACAATAGCGAAATCTTTCTCGGCAATACCTTTAGCAGCTACATAAGCGTCATCAACCCGTACTCCTGCGATTTACGGGATGTTGGTCTCTCAGCCAACATCCAATGCGCCAATGACCGTGTGGAGCTCCATGACAATCGTTTTGCTCGAACAGGAAAATTTCCTCCTCCTAATCCTGTAGCAGTTTTACCTGCTGGCTCAAGTCTGGACATGGTGGTAGACTATCCGCTGAATCAAGTAGGAAATCACGTCTTGCGCGTCGGTGTAGCCTACGTGGATCCTATCACAGGCGAGAATAAGACATTGCGAAAATTCTATCGGTTTGGCGTACAGAACCCACTTGTAATCACATTCAAGCAGAATTCGTCTCCACAGCATGAAAGTGAATCCATAGTTGAGGCACAGATTCGTAATGTGTCTAAGTTGCCACTCTTTGTGGATAGTATCACGTTTCTGCCTCTACTTCCTTTTACGTCTGAAGAAATGGCTATTCACGGTACTGATATTGAAGAAAAGAATACTTCACTCAGCAACTTGCTCGCGCTGAACAATACGTCACAGACGCTTGTATACCCTCAAGAAGAAATCCAACGCGTGTTTCGGGTTTGGTTTGACCCAGCATCGGACCCAACATTGCTGAACACCCAGGTACCACGGAGTTTGTTTATAGTGGTTAGAAAATGATTAATTGAAATTCTGTGGTCTGATTGCAGGGCTCACAAAGTTTAGGCCGACTACATGTTGGCTGGAAAACGTCGATGGGGGAAGCAGGTTCAGTGCAGAGTCAATTGGTGATGCGAAAGCTTTCGGATACTGTAGCTGCACGAAACAGTAACGTTATGATAGCAATAACGGAGGTTCCAAAAGAAGTTGCGGTCGGGCAACCTTTTATTGCTGCTATCTCAGTGACCAATAATACTGCGAAAAGCTTGACGTTGCAACTGCAATACCGCAAGGAAATGATGCGTGGAATCGTGTGTTCGTCCCTTTCTTATCAGGTACAGACTTTCACCGAATAAGAACGGGTGACATCAAAGCTTCATTGACTCAGTTTCTGTTTCTCATAGACTCTTGACTTGCTGGAACCAAAGACAATGACAATTGTTTGGAAAGAATTTTTACCAATTGTTGGTGGACTTCAAGTGCTTGGAGGCCCTGTGTGTGTTGACATCCACTCAGGTCAAGAATTAACTCAAAGTGTTGAACTGGCACATGTTTTTGTTGTGTCACCTTCGTCTCCTTGTTGAAGTGAAAGTCTTTCGGTAATACTTGCACTGAATTAACTATTTAAATATACAGAATTGAATTTGTGTCTCACAGATTCTACTTTATTCGTTATTTACATTAGTTTATCTCAGAATGCAATACTTGGTACTTGAGGAGATATTCGTTTTTGAGCTAATTTGCGCATTTATCAACGCAGAAGCCAAGGAATGGTGTTTGGTCACCGAGCATCAGGATGCTTTTGACTGGGTCAAAGACATCATGTACCAATACTGGCGTTGCCAGACCCCGATCGTCTTTTAGTGTCATCTGTGACGTTTCAGACTTTGCCATCGCCTGTGCACTGCTGCAAGCAGACGTCGAGGAACGAGATCGGGTGATCGCGTTCGAATCTCGCTGGTTTAAGGCTGCAGAGAAGAACTACCCATTCCACGACAAGGAATTTCTTGCGATCAAGTATACACTTGTCAAGTTCAGGGTGCACCTGCTTCGCTCAAAGCAGTTTGTGATCTACACAGATCATGTGTCCTTACGCAATGCGATTCAGTCGACTCACCTTTCACAGAGGAAGACTAGGTGGTCCTCCTTCTTTGCAGAATATAATCTTGAGGTGAAATATAAGCCAGAAATGCAGAATGCTTTGGCTGATGCGTTTTCACGCGGACCAGATTATGAGCTTGCTGATATCACGACTGCGACGCCGTCAGTGACGGATTCTAATCTACGCCGCATTCGCGGGTGACAGTATGTGTGTAGCGCTACTAAAGGCTCGCCGGAGCAAGAAGTTTGGAAGCTCGGACAGGAAATCGTCGGCGCGTTTGCACGCACGGTTATACCGATAATCGTTGAAAAACGGGTTGTTGTATTACAGCACCGATTCAACGGATACGCCGCAAACTGTGGTCCCTCACGATATACATTTGAAATACCGTACCCTCTATGCGCCCACGACATGGTCATTTCAATCTTGAGAAGACGTACAGTTCTATGAGTTGCTACTACTGGTGGATTAAGCTGTACAAATGGACGAGCACCTATGTGCGCACGTGTGAGTTGTGTCAAAGGGTCAAATTCTCCGAATGCGGCGATGCCGACGCCATTACGGCAGGTACACATACCAGTGTATTTTATACTTACAGTCATCTTCGATGGTCAATTTTCCGGTACCCTACAGGTGTTGGCAATCCATGAGTATAGACTTTGTGTTTGGCCTGCCGCTAGACTCGGCGATCAACACGGGTGTGGTGGTCTTTGTCGACCGATTGAGTCAGATGGATCATCTTGCGGGCAGTGCCGGACACCATCGACGGTGTCGGTACAACGACACTTTTTGTCGGCAGCATAGACCCCGGGGTCAATAGTCTCTGATAGAGACCCGCGCTTCACTGGGAAGTTTTGGGCTAGAATCTTCAGCGTGGTGAACACCAAGCTAACTATGTCAACAGCGGACCATCCGCAGACCGATGGTCAGACTGAGCGCGTGAGTTCTGTCGTTTAAGACGTTCTTCGCATCCTCGCGTCCCGCTGACGTCGCCATCCCATGGCTCAGGGCTTG